TTTCCTCTTCCATTTGGAATTTCTTTGCTGCCTACCCCAAAACCCCAAAACCCCGTAACTCAAGAAACTACAGATATGATTAATAATATTTGTGATAATAACTCTTTCCATCATTGTGAGTTAATACAAATATATTATTTGAATTAATGTCGAGCAAAAATCGAAAGATTCCCTATTAAGAGTCAGATCAATTCCTGAGAGGAGTCATGACTATTATCAGTGGAATGTGCATTTAAGCTGTACTTTATTAATATCTTTGATTGATTCATTCATTTTCCTGTAGTTATTGGGATTTGTGCCGATTTGGGGTAACATCGTGGTGTATATGACATCCTACTTCAGAGTTTTTGATGATTCAATTACATTGCAAAACACATTCATGGTGTTCCCACTCACTCTCTGTTTAGGGGCTACCGCGATGCAATTAGGAGCTGTCATGCTTGATCACTTTCATCCGAAAGTTCATCTTGCCTTGGGAGGAGCAGTCTATGTAGGAGCAATAGCAGTCTCAGCTTACATTACTAATTTCTATGTATTTGTCCTGTTTTACTCTATTCTTGCGGGTGTTGGATATGGTATAATCTATATCTTGCCACTTAAAAATGCTTGGATGTTCTTTCCAAATAATAAAGGCATGGTGGGCGGTATAATTCTAGCATCCCATTCCTTCGCAGCTATTGGGTGGACATTTCTCACCACATCTTTGATAAATCCAAATAATGAAATGCCAAACTTATACATAAATGTGGGTAACTCATTGGAAGTGCTCTATGATTCAAACAGCGATGCAGCCAAGAATGTCCCCTACTGCTTGAATATTATATCTATGATACTATTAGGAATTTTAGTAATTGCTGTCTTGCTTATATTCAAGAAAAAGACTGTAACATTCGATTAATAACTGGCCTAAGAATTACTCCAAAAGGGAATAGTCCATGATGGTGGAGTGTAGTATCTTGCGCCTAATTCAAGACATGAAGGGATTAACAGATAAGACTCTTTCACTTCTTAAGATAACTCTACAAACAGAGGTGATTCTTCTTTTAGAGATGATAGCTTCTCAGACAATCAATCCAACTATTCAGGGTTTACAGATCTTTCACATATGACTTTGAGGGAATCAGTTTAAGATCGCACCTTCTGGCATATATTCGTGATGCTGACTCTTTCCATGTCATTCTGCTACTTCATCAAAGTAGTATTCAAAAATTTCGGGAACTTAAACTTCAATGATGACGCCTTTTTAACTTAGGTGGCTGGCACTTCATTTTTATGTGGAGCAAGTGCCAGGTTTATCTGGGGTACAGTACAGGATTATATTGGTTTTAAGAAAGTCTATGGAATCATTGTTTTTAGTCTTACTATTTGTGCATTCACCATTAATGAGATCGCTTATAGCAGAACACTGTATCAGGTCTGGATTGGAATTAGCTTTGCAATGGAAGGCGGGCATTTCTCCATATTCCCGGCATTAGCTGCTTAAATCTATGGAGCTCAGTAAGATTTATTAAAGTTAATTGTTGTTTAGATTGGGATCGAAGGTTTACTCTCTTTTATTTATTGGAACTGCTATCGCATCATTAATTGGACTTTTAGTAGCAAACATAGTTTTACCAATTTTCGGCTGGAAAACAGTGTTCATAATATTCGCTTGTATGAATTGCCTTAGCCTGCTACTTCTATTTATGTTTGAGTCCAATGGCAATCAAAAGGCTTTCATACCAAGAAGCCAAGACAGACCATTTTACAGCTAGGCATCGAGGAGTCAAGCATCATCTTAAAGAGGTTATAAATGATCATCCAACTGATCTTGAAGAATATATGTAAAAACTACTTTCAAAGGATTTAGTTAGTAAGTAGGAGTGAATTAAGTAAGTATCTTAAAATCTTAGAGATAAGTTACACTAATATTTTCTTACTTTTCCAGATAGAAATACTGGTCAATGGGGTTTTGGGGTTTTGGGGAGTGGCTTGGTGGTTTTGATTTGATTAA